AGACGGTGTGTCGCGCACAAAAAGTAGGTCGCTCTGACCTTTAATAAAGACGCTATAGCCAATAAAACACATTATTTGTTATGGAAAAATCCTGTCCGGCTCATAACTAGAAAACTATGAGACCTAGAGCTTTCAAACTTGGCAAAAGTATACAGCTAAGGTAGAAGGTGTGTCGCGGCCTATTTCAAGGTCACTGTGACCTTTAATTTAAGTGATTTTTTTTAAAAAACTAAGTCTTTTAAATTTTAAATTTCATAATCCTAAAAAATGTAAAAATATAGTTGTATCCTTATTAAAAAATGTTAAATTAAGTAAAAACTTATTTTTTCACTATATACTTTACAGCAATCTGTAACAAATGTTTATGCTTTGAAAGGAATTCAGTTTGTCCCATGGGCATAATTATCAAGCACTGGTCAAGGAAAATTTTGATAGCAGAAATGTGCATGTCAAATTAGAGAGAAATTAATGAGTTTATTGTCGGGAGCTAACAGGCAAGAGCATCTCTAGATCTGATCATGGAACTGTTATCTTAATTTATCTCTTGGGATTTGGGCAAAAAGAAATGGCCTCATAGTTGCTTGTGTAGATTAAGAGTTCTTGATGGCTATTGTCCAGATAAAGATCTTTCAATTGGTGTAATGTAATTAAAACAAATTGAAGTTTTAGTGTATGATTAAAACTAAATTAGTATTGTATAATATAATTAAAACTAATTATACATGTGTTCATTGAAAAAAAAAATACATTTCAAATTTTATATATTTGCAACAAATTGCAGTCATGTCTCACTTAGAATTTTATAGTCTAAAGAATAATTCATTTTTGATTTTTTTTATTAGACCATGTAGACTGTAGCATTTCCATTATTTCATAAAATATGCAATAAACAATTTAAAGCTGCAGATGGATATTTGTTAAGCTCTAACACAGACAGTTTAGAATTATATGATGTATTATTTGTTATGATTAATCCCTACACTGTAAGTCTCTTAGAGATGTATGTACAATATTTTAAACATGATAAGAAATGGAAATTAGATCATTGAAATCTGTGTCAATCTGTTAATCAAGGTTACTTGATTTTCTTGCACCCCAACCAATTTATGATTATTGAACAATATTTGATGGGCGTATCATGCTGTGGCGGGGCACTTTATTCGTATATATTTCTATGTAAAACTTTGATTCTGCATTGTGGCCCCGCCCTACCCCCAGGGGTCATGATTTGAACAATTTAGAATCTACACTACCGCAGAATGCTTCCACATATGTTTCAGCTTTTCTGGCCCAGTGGTTCTTGAGAAGAAGATTTTCAAAGATTTTTCCTATATATTTCTATGTAAAAATTTGATTCCCCATTGTGGCCCCGCCCTACCCCCGGGGGTCATGATTTGAACAATTTAGAATCTACACTACCCCAGGATGCTTCCACATAAGTTTCAGCTTTTATAGACCAGTGGTTCTTCAGAAGAAGATTTTCAAAGATTTTTCCTATATATTTCTATGTAAAACTTGGATTCCCCAATGTGGCCCCGCCCTACCCCCGGGGGTCATGATTTGAACAATTTAGAATCTACACTACCCTAGGATGCTTCCACATAAGTTTCAGCTTTTCTGGCCCAGTGGTTCTTGAGAAGAAGATTTTTTAATGACCCCACCCTATTTTTGTCTTTTCTTGATTATCTCCCCTTTTGAGGGGACTTGGCCCTTTATTTTAACAATTTAAATTCCCCTTCACCCAAGAATGCTTTATACCAAGTTTGGTCAAAATTGGCCCAGTGGTTCTTGAGAAGAAGTCGAAAATGTGAAAAGTTTACAGACGGACGGACGACGGACAAAATGTGATCAGAAGAGCTCACTTGAACCTTCGGCTCAGGTGAGCTAAAAACTTGAAATGGCCCAACAAACAAGAAATCAAATTCACAAGTTTTTGTTCATTGTTTAAATGAACTGAAAAAAAGAGATGTCTTTTGTAAATGACAAAACTTTTTCACTGAACTTTCCAAATCTCTTGACTGCTCATATATTGTGTTTTTTTTCAGTTTGAAATAGATGCGGATGATGATGAAGATCTGGTATTAAGCAGCCATTCTATTGGAGAGTGTCACAATCAGCTGATCAATATGATAAATAGGTCAAGGTCAGTATAAATGTTAATATGGTAAAAAGAACATGGAATAAGTGGAAATTTTAGCTAGACGCAAATTTAACGATTTGTCCTTAAAAATTGATGATTTGAAATTTAATTTTTAGCGATATTCAATTTTTGCAAACTCTACACCCTCGCTAATAATGCCAAAACTAAATCCTCGCTAAAAATTCTGCTTATTCGGAATCCATCCTGTCACATGGAAAGTATAGTTGCAATTGTTTTCAAGTTAACTGCAATAAAAAGATTCTTAAGGCAATTGAAAACCAAAATATGCCCTAATATGTATTGATTTGAGTTTGGGTAAGATTCCAGGTCTGTAGTTATCACATTTTCCTCCTCTCATAAAAATTCTCGTTATCCATATATACCATATAACTTAGGAGATAAGGTAATCGGAGTTGTTTCCCTTCTAGAGGTATGGAGATACTTGAACCCTCAGGAAGGGGTGCCGATTTCTTTGGACTGACCCACCCCGTGGTACAGAATCTCATTCAAAGCTCCCCCGGGGCCAAACGCTGCAGTAATTACAAGTGGGTCAAGTTTGAGATCAGTAAAACAGACACTAATGAGAGTGTTGGCACAGAGATGTTGCAGGATCCCACAATAGGATATGATGCATTCAGAGTTGCACTTATTAAAGGTGAGATTTTTTTTTTTAATTTCTGAGCCATAAGCTTTAAATCAGATGAGCATCACAAAATTAAACATTAAAAAATGGAACATTATGTTTCATTTTGATGAAAAAGTTGCAGCATTTTTTCAGTTTAAGAAGCCATAACTTTTAAGTCTCCTGACTTTTAACATTTGTTGAAATTTTTAGAACATTCTTGTATGTTGAGATATACAGTACTGTGTCTCATTAGACCATTTACTTATTGCACTGGCTTATCATGCACTAAGCATGTGTTATATTTTACTTTTATCCTAATATCAAGAATCAGCCCCTTTAAATTTATGCCATCTATTTTTGTTCGACCTTTCAGTAATTCTCTTTGTAAATTATATACACTGTAGTAGATATTTTGTATATGATAGCTGAAAATCCATTTTTTCATAAATTATAATTCCTAGATGCTATTTACTATGCTCACATAGTAAAAAATAGGAATCAAGAATTGTATCTTGATATGACAAATAAGGACATTTCTTTTTGTGTAGGTGGAATCAAGCATCAAATGCCATTCGAGTCATCTGGAAGCCTGAGATCACTGCTAACAACAAAACCAGCCACAAAAACTTGAATATTGATAACAAAACTGTACATTTAGATAACAGAAACTATCTTCAATATTTCAGCAGTAAAATTCAATATTTATTTTTATAAGTAAAAGTATGAGGACTTCATTCAGTACTGTTAAAAGTGTTGCAGAACTTTACATGTTTACATAATAGATTTCATTTGAATGTTTCAACTGATGACAATTGAATGTTTCAACTGATGACAATTGAGCATGTGCATAATTTAGATTTTAGTGGATAGATCTTGAATAAATTTGTAATCCGAAGAATGTGTGCTCTCCATCAGCTATTCTAAACTGGAACAAGTACATTTAATAGGAATGGTATACTCATCATTATGTCACACCTATTTTGCTTTTGGCTATATGTATACATTCATGTAATGAAGTAACACTGAACTGTTGTGAAGAGACAAAAGTAACTTTGCTGACTTCCTAGATGTATTAAACCATGATCACAGAAGACATGTTGAACTATACAAAACATTGATCAATAAGACATATTGAACCATACAAAACATTTATCAATTATATACATGATATACATAGTGCATTTGTAAACTGAATCAAACACAAAAGTTATTAAACATAAATTTCAAACTAAACAAAGTTACCCCTCCCCCGACTGTCTATGTATGTGTGTCTATGTGTTGTCAGTTGCTGCCCCTCCCCCACCCCCCTCTGCCTCCTCTTTACGTTTCATAGCCATATAATACACATTGGCTCGCCTCCTTTCTTGCTCCGCTTTTTCCTCAATTTTAGCTGTAGGGAAAAATGTTCCATAATGATAGTAATTTCCAAGACACAGTGCTGCAATGATGAATACCCCTGATCCAGCTCTAACTGCCATCATTTTCTCAGATAGAGCAGAGTTCCTATTCTTCATAGCTCGAACTCCATTGAGAAATGCATAAAAACAAACACCAAAACCTGGAATAAAATAGGGTTTACAGCTATACACTTTTTACATCTAGATACAATAATTGTACATGTATTTCAATTTGCAAACAGTACCTTTTTGAGATGTTGACATAAAAACCTGACAAATCCATGTAAACAACTGATAATTTGACTTCTGTTAAAATTTTTTGATAATTTCATGTTTAATTACAATAAGTTTAATTGGGTTTTTGAAGTATACTGAATCTTTTATTAAAAAAGACAAAGATTAATGATTACGCAACGTCTATTTATACCTGCTATCACAAAAGGATTTTTCTTGGAATATGCAAATAATTTCTCTGAAAAACTTTCCTGGGTTACATCGGATACACTTTCAAATCCTTCTATGTATGGCCTTCCCCCTGCAGGTGGATCTAAATATTTTACTCTTTGTTTACTTGAGGGAAGATAGGCATATTTTTTATCCTCGTCTGACATTGTTGAGGATATTCGGGACAGTGAATAGCTAAAGTAAGACGATCGTAATTAAGTCGTAATAATTACAATATCAATATTTAAGTGTCTGGTATATTTCATTTAATTACTTGTGTTTTAAATTTGACACATAAAGGTTATGTCATCCAAATAAATAAAAAAATTTTTTTTTGAAATGCTTTGGTTATTATCTATGACATATTTTATGCACGACTTATCAAATAAAACTTCTGCTTCCGGTTTTTGAGCACGTGTCCAGTGTTTGATAACAAACTTTGAAACAAAATTTTCTTTAGATTTGTCTTATAATGGTATATAAATATGGGTAAATCGAAGAAACAAAGAAAGGGGAAGAAATTTAACTATGACAAGAATAGAAGAAAGGAGTGGAAAAAGTCGAAGAAGTTGCCAAGTATTGAATGGTATGCATACATACATGTACTTTTCTAGTACTTGCTAAGGACCTGTTTAAAAACCATCTCTGAAATGGGAATATCAATTTCAAAAGTAATTTTCTTATAAAAGTTTAAACACTAGTAATCTGCATAAGAATAAACCTTCATAGCAACAACTATTAGTAAACATTCCTTCATAATCATGATAATATGTTATAGATGTTTAGAGATGTTAAAATATTGGATCTCTCAGATGATTCTCAACTTCTTCAAACTGTAGGGTTGTAGAGAAGTGTTGCTACCAAAAAAATTGCAGCCAATACATTATTATGCAAATTAACAGAGAAAAAATATGATATCCAATCAGGACATCTGTCGTATCAACGTGTTCTTCATAATTCTTGTTCACTCTTTCCCCTATTATCTATATATCTTGTTTGCCCTCTTATAAATATTATATGTAAACATTATTTTTGAACTTTAACAGGTTGGGACATCTCTTGCCCAAATGGGATATAATAGATCATTTGGGATATAATAGAGAGGTTTAGCAAACCAACGTGTACGCGTACGTGTACGTGTAGCACCAGAAATCTGTGCATTACGTCATCACTTTTGCTAATGACGAATTTCTACACGTATCTTCTTAAAAATTACGTGTACATAGCCAAGTACACAATTTCAAAACTTTAGCGTATAATTCTTTAACTGCTGTTTATTTTTCAAAAGGTGTGCGTTTTTCTGAAACCTGAATATATAATGCAAATACTAATATAAGAATTGGACTTCAGTAATTGAAAAATATTAATTTATAGAGAGTTAAAATTACAACATCTTGATTTTCGAAAAAGACTTCGACCGATTAAAAATATAAGAGCTCTGTACAATCTTTATCTCATAACTACAGGCATATATTTATGTAGAATGGTGTTATACGTATTAAAATCATTGCTTTTGCGGATGATTTTTAAATGTAAACCACTTTTACATTTAAAAATTTACAATATATACAGGTTATACTTTGCTAATAAATAAAAAATGTAAACATTATTTTTAACTTGTAGTTTACACGTACATGTACACGTACAAGTGAGCTTGCTAAACCTCTCTAATATCTCAAATGGGATATTTTACAGTGCAAAAAAATGAAAATTTTTATTTTGGCTATTAATATCATAAATTCGCATCAAGATACTTATAAAGGAATAACTTTTGGTTGACAAGTTTTTTCTGTATGCCCATTGTTTAGGAGATTGATCCCGCAGAAGTTCCTTAACTTCTTCATGTTCGTGGGGATCAATCTTACAAACAGTAGGGTTACAGAAAAATTTGCCTGCCAAAGGTTATTCATTTTTAAGTATATTGATACAGATTTATGATTTTCATTGCTAAAATAAAAAATTTAATTTTTATGCCCTGTAAATTTATATCCTATCTGGGATATTATATCCCAAACAGGGTATTTTATCCCATTTGAGCAAGTGGTCCCAACCTGTTGTTAATATATATATATGCAAGTCATCTACGAAGGAAACATTAATAAAATTTAACCGATTTACATATATATAACATATATAAAGGGCAGGAAGGTTTTAAAGCAAATAGACTCTGGACCAACCAGAAATAGGGTAAACAGTGTCAAGGGTGAACAAGCATAATTTGTTAAACTACATAAATAAAAGGTGACAAGGGCTTGCACTTCACTTAGAGTTAGACATATAACATGTATCAGTTAAATTTTTATAAATCCAATGAATATTAACTTGTAGGAAAAGTCAGAACAAATATTTACCGGTACATAAATTTCTCACACTAACTGTCATACATAATTACATCTCACTTCAACTATAATATAAGTACATTGTTATGCTATTTTTGTATATATTTATGCAGTACTCAAATAAAAAAGGCATGGGATCCCAAGAAGTCAATGAGAAGAAATCTAGAAGAGATGGGAATTTCAGCTGATCCCAATCAGACTATCAAGATCCCAAAAACAAAGGTATTACAATGTTTTTATATCAAGTCAGCATTTAATTTTGTTATTGGGGGTGGGGTGTTGAGGTGTACATGTATCAAATTCTTCATTTGAGATTAGAAAAAAGTAAATTTTAAATGTGTAGTAAATCTTATCTAAAATTATCACATATATTTTTTTGGGTATAAATTATGTGGCCGTTGATATTTGATTCTCTGGTACATGTACATGTAAACCTGTCTGTCTCTCAGGAATAAAACAAAATCTATACTTCACAAGTCTATGTTATCCTAATATTTCAAGAAAGCATTCAGTCCTGTCCCAAAAGGGACATAGCCTTTATTAAGTGAATTAAAACACACCACTGTAGCATTGATAGCATTTGAAACACATTTAATACACTTATTTACATGTATTTTAAAATCTGCTAGTTTGAATGTTAAGTAAAGAAAATTATTTGTCATAACTGAATGTTATTTCTTAAGACAATTTTGTATATCATAAACAATATTGTAATTAATTATGCCAACTTATGATAAGAAAGCTAAGCACATACTACATGTATTACCTTTAAACAGATTTTATTCAGTGTTGATTCCTGTATCACAGAATTTGAAATAACTTCCACACATAAATTCATGTAATTAAGAACACATTTATACTTTATAGTTTGCAACTTTTACTGTTAGCATGGTTAGTGCATGAACATGTATTTATTTTACATTCAATATCAAATATTGCTCTTTTTCAGGATTTTTTGATGGACGATGAAAATAATCCAGAAACTGAAATAGAAGAGAAAAAAGTCCCTAAAAAACAACCTAAGGAACATGTTGTTCACGGTAACACACAGATCTCTGTGAACTTAAAGTTTTAGATATTGACTGAATATATTTTGTGCAACAAAACAATGCATTTGACACTTCAGACCTTTCTTTTCATTAATAAAAATACCTCCATACTACAGTGTATAATAGTGTAAGGATATTTTTATCAATGAAAAGAAAGCTGTAAAACATCAAATGCCTATAGATAGCAGCAAATGAGAAGAATCTTTTGATAAACATGTAATGACAATATATTTCTTTCAGTGTTTAAAAACACTGATTTCCTTCATAATTGGGTTAATAGATATTTTAAGAGAATCATTTGAAACGTTTCAACCACTCGGCTATTTTAGGTTTGAATCTATTTAGATGTACAGTGTTCTGTATCTCCTGAGGTAAATGATGTAATACATATTATTTTGGAATAGTTAAACATTCACTAAATCTTGTATACAAGGTAATATGTTTTACGGTGTGACTGTTGAGACGAGCGCAGTTGTACCATCAAAAACACTCTAAAAATTGATCAGCCACTTCAAACATCAAGCCGCAGACATCTTGACTAGCTGTGACGTCACACGACGTCACGGAGCTCGTCGGAGCTTACGGAGACAGCCGAGCGTCTTTTTGAAGCTATAGACCTAGTGCAATTTTGGTTGAAAAGCATTGTAGAGTTATTTTTTGTTTCTTTGAAAGATTTCTACAAACTGATCTAGCCTTTTATGCTTTACGTTATTATTTATTTACTGTAGACGTACTTTTTTTGGAGGTCCGAGGAATCTCAATTTCTGTTTAATCCACGGATATACTAGATTGTCACTATATGCCTTACATTTATATTAAGTACACTTGGACAAATTTCCGTGGAAAATTTCTGACTGCTTACATAGGGTAAATTAATACCATGCGGAAAAAAGTACTTCTACAGTATTTGCGCAAAGGACATTGGGTAGTGCAGGAATTCTGGGAATGTTTCACAGAAAAATTTGCCTGACGTATGTACAGATTTCAATTCGAATTTCCTCTGTTCTTACATGTTAGTCTATTGAGCTCGCTGCGCTCGCTATTATTCAGAACTGTGTGAACTTTTCTATGTTTGGACACTGTTTTTTTTATCAGCTGTTTAATTGGGAGGTAATTCTAGCAGCGTTAATTGCTCCTTGTAGAGTTGGAGGCCGAGGCTAGTGTACCACTGGAGAAGACACTGAGACTGTCCTCTGAAGAGACAAAGTACTGTATATATATGATGGAGAAGTATGGAGAAGACTTCAAGGTTTGACAAGAGGATACACTTTAGTATAATATCATAAGCCTGTTGATTATACGGAAAATTATGAATATAATGTCACTCTTGGTACAACATTTAGAATACTAGCATGGCTTTAGACTTAAATTACCATGCATCTTTTAAAGTTTTCAATTTGAAAGTACATATCAAGCATATTGCAAAAAGTGTGTTTCATTGTCATTCACATTTTGTGCTCAAATTGTAGCTGTACATACACTGAGCTGCAGTGAGTTGAATGAGATTATTGTTTTTTAGGCTATGGCAAGAGACAGAAGAAATTATTATCAAGAGACCCCAAAACAGATCAAAAGAAAAATCAAGGCCTTTATGAATATCCCAGAGCAGTACAATGCTTACCTGGCCACCAAAGCTTCATCATCAGGTATGGATCAAACATGAATAAAGAAAACGGCATCCAGTTTGTGACAGAGGTGTCAAGTGATTGAAACTCTTTCCTGCAGTGGCCAACACCAATAATATATATCTAACTGCAGTTTTGTGACATGGAAAGATCACATATGTGATCAGGAAATTTATCTTTCATAGAATTTTTAAAAGATTCAGAATCTCTGTGAATGTTTTTTGAAAAATAATAAAATTATGGAACTTGTATGTTATGTGTTCTTTTCTTCTTAAGAGTTTGGAAATGTTAGGGAAAATAAATATATATTATTGTTGGTTTTAGCCATGCAGAGAAAGAGGTTTTAATCAATATATACATCAACAAGCATTTAACAGTAAGAAATTTTGGTAACTGTGCCATGAGGATTATTGTTTTGGTTACAAGTTTGAGGACACTAAAACATAATGTAAAGAAACTCTTAAGCAAGAAGCTTCATATAATATAATAAGAACAGTAGTAGTTTTCACCATTTATTTCCAACATAAATGTACACAGAGACACAAAAGAAAAAAATTCAGAATTGTTCAACTTTTTTTTTCCACTTGAGAAAAATTAAGTATAGAAAAAAAAATTAAAGCTGGGAGAGCAAATTCCACATATGAAGCTACAATACTGTTTTTGTTTTGAAGCATTATGGCATATAGACAATAAAATCATATAATCCTTACATTAGAAATCAATACATTGACAAAAGAGAAATAGGAACAGTAATACTGAACAAGACACTGAACACAACCATACACAGTCCTCTGGTTACATGTATAACTTAATAATATAGCACAAAATCGGAAATACTGTAGATCATTAAAGCAGTTACAATTAAGAAGTAAAAATAAATACTGATAAACAAGCCAGAGCTTAATAAAGGGGAAAAAAATCAAACATTATAAAAGTTTTCTTACTATAAAAGGTAGTAGAAGAAATATTTTTTAAAAATAAATAACAGCACCCCTTCTCAAGTTGATATTATAAGATTTAAATAACATTCTCTCCAGAGATAAATTTGTGGTAATAATCTTTCCTAACTTCTTTTTATTGTAATTTTTTTCCATGAAAATCCCACATGCAACATTTAACAGAAAACCCAACAACCTGACTAATAATACTGACTGGTAATTTGTTCTGTTTTGTAATTCAATAACTTATAAAAACATTTAAATTTATCTAGTTATTGGATTAGCTAAGTCAAATACTCTCTTTGGAATCACTCCTTTAAGAGCAGTTTCTTTTACTATGAAAGCTTCCGGATTAAATTGCACGTGATCCATTGATGCTCGAACCACTGGTTTTGATAATTCGCTAACACGGCCTGTTGCTGTCGCGCGTTTGGCAGCCCTAGAAATAGGCCAGACCTCATCCTTTGGTAGCATGTATCCATCGGTAGTTCCTCGGGGTCTGGCAAGCTCAACACTTCTAGCTTTGGCACTAGCATTCTTTGCAGCAGGAAGAACCTAGTTATATAGACAAAAGCATTTTAATTAATATTGTTAATTCAGAAACGGAAATGTATTTTCCTGATGGTAAAATTTACAAAATAGTTTACAGCTAAAATTTTATTGTTAATATATGAGGAAGACACAGGATAAACTGTTTAACTAGGAAAAAATGTTTCAAATTTTTGGCATGAATTAAATTTATTGAAATTTATTGAATTTACAGTATTCAAAGAATTTTAAAAAAAATAATCGTTTGTTCAAAGCTTCTTAATGGAAACTGTGTGGGGAGGGATTCGTACCGGCCACTGTGGAGATCTGAAGGGACCCTCTGAGCGGTTCTTGGGGGTGGCTAGTGCTTGTAGCCGCTCCGAGGCAGAAGCGGTGAGGGCAGGGCCAGGTATAATAGTTTCTATCTGTCTCGCTGGCTGGAATTCCTTGACTGGTGGTCTATGCGCTGCTAGCTGATTGGTACGCGGTCTCTCTCCAGCAGACTTGGCCCCTTTTGTGACGGTCCATATTGGACTTTCTCTGCCACAGCTATAGAAAAACTGGCTTCTGCAATGTGTAGAAAATTGTTGTGAATCTATAATTTTATAGTTCTTTGAATGAATCTATAAAAAGGGATAATTAAGTTTATATCCATCTTTGCTATCAAACTTTTGATATTATATATAGAAAATGCAGGAATACATGAAGATATCTAACCCCAGCTGTTAATGAAAAAAGTGAACATTCAAATAAATACGCAATGCTTAAGTGCACATACATTAACATTCACTTGATTATGTTATGACGTTTGACAATATTTTAATATTTAGATATCTATTCTACATTGTTATATGTAAAAACCAAGAAACATAAGATCAGGGGAATGGGAGGGTATACAATTCATAAGCAGATGATTAAAATAAAATAATTCAATAGAAAAATAAAACATTACTGCTTGTAAAAAGTATGATGGTATCAAGTAATTGTACTTGTTAAACATTTTGACAAATATTTTTTTTTTTTAAATCAAAACTTATGGTAAAGCTCATGCAGTTATTTGCTGCTAATTTTCTCATTGGAAGAAAACTTTTTGTTAATCAAAGCAATTGAAAATTGTGAATTGCTGCATTTGAACTGATTTTTTTTTTATTTAAAAGCATTCAAATATTTTGGTTGCTTTTACTGCAGTTGAAAATATTTTATCAGACTGATGAAAGTTGATTATATTTAAAAGAGATATTACAAAACAACAGGAAAATTCAATAAAGCTGTGAAACAGAGAACTTTGTTATTAATAGTCGGGAAAAAGCATTAGTGTTTAACTTTAAGAATCATTTTTTCCAACAATACAAACTTTGGGAATAGTTTCAGAATATCTTCTGGTCCAAGTATATCCCTGTGTGAAGAAAACCATTAGGTGATCAGCTTTCCCTTGCTTGCAAATACCTTTAGTTTTACCAATATTTTGGCACAACAGATTTCTGGGGGTTATGCATTTATTTAAACCAGAAAATCACCGACAAGAAATTGGGCCAAATTTAAAACAAGAAATCGTATAAATCTTAAATTTCTGTAAGTTTGACCGATTTACTGGATTAAGTATACAGCAGTTGTGCTTCAGTTGAAAAACAAACATAAAGCAAAGAGATTTCAATTTAAAGTAGGACAGTAGGGTCCTCGCAATGTATTAGATGTTTAACATGTTTAATATCAAAGTCCCCTCTTAAAATAGGTAGTTGGTTTTCAAAGCACAATACAAATTCATATATTTTTATTGCTTTCTTCATAAATATTGCTGGCTATTAATAAATTAATAAACCAAAGAAATTTTTCTATAAGGGAAATATTTCTCAAGACAAGTTTTTCTTTTGACATGTAAACATCAAACCTTGGCCATTTATTATTATGGGTCTTTTTATATGTTTTTTTTTCTGCAAACATAATATGAACAGGATGCTGCAGCTTTTCTTTTAAAAGAATAAATAATGCAAGTTTATTAAGACCTTGGCTGTAAAAAAATATATTTACAATGACATTGCGATTCAGTTACATTGCTGATAACGATACAATATTTTCATTATAAAATGAGTGCATCAGGACCCTTCCTTTCTCTAGATTATAAATGATTGAATTACTCCCCCCCTTTTCAGTCATTATTTCCATGACAACTCTGTCTGAGTACTCAATGTTTAAACTACAGTCTTACACTTAATTTAAATTTTGTGAGTAGTAGTGATTCACTATGATCAACTCTAAAGGCAAATTACTACACTGTAGTTTGTTTCATGTTTACTTCTTTATACTTTAAAAAAAATATATTTTGGAAAGGTGTCAAGACATTTTTACTTGCAATGTATGTGTAGATAGAAATATAAAGATTTGTTTGTGAGAAGACAGAATGATCTATACTTTACAAATGTATAGTCAATACAATGGTATACAATGATCAACTGTGCCAAAGTAAACATGAAAATGGATGTACACTAGTACTGTTCACTGTATTAAAAAAAATGACCCTCATGTACCATGTGTACCTTAAATTGTCACAAAACACGAAAACAATACATCTATTCAGTCTGTAGTTGTAAACCACCTTTGATTTTGAAGAAAGTTTGTACATGGAGTTAATGTGAAAGTTTTATAAGTGTGTGATAAACTAATCTTTCTAATCAAAACATGCTACTCTGAATGTGACATATTGGTGTAAAAAAAATTACCAACTGCACTAACATGTAACCATGATAACAGTGGTTCATAATGATTCTATGAGGCTACTTTGCTATTAGAAATAAAACAAGTGTCCAGTATCTAAATCAAATGACCCACCTATCTTCTTTGTAATTGGGATGTAACTGTTTTGCTCCAGCCAGTTGCTGCACCCTTTGGGAGGCCTCAGGCAGATTTTTTGGAGGTGCCTCCCATATCATTGAGGGCCTTCCACAGCTGTAGAAGAATAGGGGTCTGCAAAAGGGAAAAACAATCCTTTTCATTTATAGTTGAAATACTTAACAATGGCATGAATACATTTAACTAAATTTAATTGATTAGAACTGCCTAATACTATTAGTTGACAGAATGATGTTAATGGTGCACATCTTTTACTTACTTTCTAAGGTAATGTAATCCTTTAGAAAATGAGTTGACAGTATTTCTATCATAAACAAACTCATAGTTTTTCTTAAGTTTGTAACCTGATCTAGGCACCCCCGAGCTGGGATTATCCAACACATCCCGATGTCTCTCGATCAGAGAAAGTAAATCATCATCATCATCCTCATCCAAAGGACTCATTGTTTTTTTTTTCTCATGACATTTCCTTTTCGTTAAATTCCATATTTAGATATAAAGTTTGTGTTGTGAAGGCCTGGCTGACATTGTTGCTAACTAAGGCAGACTGTAAGTACTGCACAGAAGGAGTGGGGATATTGGGATTAAGTGGGATTTGTCCTGATACTGGTCACTTAATCTAACATGTAAAGGGATTAGTTAGGGTTGTTCAGTTGATTGTTTTAACCTTTCATCTGTATTTGTCCTCGTTGGGATTTAGAATTACCAAATGTAGTCTTGTAAAACTGGTCCTTTAAACATGTTAAATCAATTTATTAGCTCAAGGATTAATGCTTTCTACATGCAGTTGTCTTTCTCGCAATTTAGGTTTTACTCACCTGTCAGCCTTTTGCACATTGTCTGTCTGCTTGTTTTTTTTTTAACTCTCAAAAGTATGATATGTGATAATGTAAGATTCTAGGAATAATACTAAATGTACCCAGCCTTTTGTTTTGATCTCTTTTTTTTTTGTTCACTCCCGTAGTTTGCAAACCAGACATTAACTGGTAAAAGATCACGTAGGCCATCCATTCCTAATGTGACGAGTTCAAGAGGAATTTTTTGGCCTCCGTAACCTATCATTTGACACCTTATTACCAAAAGTTACATACCTTCCCTTAGACTCAGTTGTGGAGAAGTCTTTTTTAGGTGTCGCTAGCTGTTCCACTCTTTCACTGGCTTTCTGGATGTTAGGGTTGACAGGCCACAACATTTCCTGGGTCCCCCACATAACATTAGGGCTAAAGTACAACAAAGATCATATGAAGGTTGATTAACTTGATTAAATATATTACCGTAAAAAGTATGAAAAAATTTTTGGAACTCACCCGACATTTGTGAAATATCCTATTTTTATTTCTTTGGGGCGTGAAAGGTCTAGTAATCTTTCCCTGTAAAGAAATTTTATTTCATGTAAAATTGCTTAAGTTGTTAATGAGAGCTTCATGATTTTCATGCATTTCGTATGATTGATATACAATCATGCATGAGGGAAAAAATTGGTATCAGTAAATTATTTAAAAGCTGATGTGATGCAATTTAAATTTGTTTTCCTCTTAAAATGTCCTTATCATACAGTTTAACACTGATTGATCATCTTAAGCTTTTAATTCAGATTAGCTTGACAGTGCACATCTGCCTTTCAGTGCATCATGATGCACTCAGTAAGACTAGTTTACATATACTAACTCCCTCTAACTAAGTTTACAAAGTCTTCTAGATATTTGAAGTGTTAGATTCCAGAGCCATGTCATTGAGATGATTATTGATCTTTCTAAAATGAAAGAAAAAGATGTGGTACAAATTCCCATAGAGCAGAGGTTAAACGCTGTTGATTCATCATCTTCGCCAGCCAAGGGTTTTCGATCAGCACTGCTCCCCAAAATCCTTGGCTAGCAAAGATGTTGATTCTTACGAAAAAAAAAATTAAAGAATTTTCAAAAAGTCCTTGTACCATTTACCGTATGAATTACAGATTCATGTCATTTTTGAGATTTGAAAAATTCAGGTGACATGAATATGTCAAAAAAGATAAAAAAAAAAAAGTTAGAAGATATCTTCAGTATTACATGAGTTAACAAATTTGGGAATTTTTAGTTTGTTGTTGTATGGAATAAATGCAAAGGTCAAGGCTATTAAGAGGTGGCTCATTTAATAGCATGCATAAAAATAACCTATATTGTAGCCTATAATTCAAAGATTCATAATCCTAGATATTAAAAAAGATTTTTCTTCAACTTTTTCTGTAAATTTAAAAATGTATTTCTGCTTGTTGAAGGGAAAGGCAATATAGTACATGTATATATATTGGTATTCGTGTGTAAGGGGGAAAATGGAGTGGGAAGGCATGTTTTGAATTATATAGGAATTAGAATTCATTTCATTTGGTAAGCTCATTGTACCACACTTGGAAAATATCAAATGAGAAATTTAAATTAGTTTTTAAAAGCTTTCTCCTTGATGACCTGTGTAATACAACTTTCTAGGAGACAAAGGAGGATAATGGGTGTCATGTTCATAGGTCCAGAAATCTAGAAACATTCTGAAGAGGGAAGCATAATATGAATGGGTTAATGAGAGGTTTCCATGGATACAACATTGACATAGTACTCACCCCATTATGAAATCTTGATCATAAAATTGACCAGGTCTGCAAAAATATTTCTAAAATATGAATGACCCTTAACCCTTGTTTTATCACTTTAAAAATGCCAAACCTCTGAATAGAACTTTTTTGTATGCACACTGTGACACATGCATATACATGATTGCAGAATATTACATGATTGGGACTAAATTATACCTTGTTGATCTTGCCGTACCCCCTCTGGCTATCAAATCCTATAATGTGCATTACAAGAAACTCAAGCTTTTCCTTTTTATCAATAAAACAAAATTGAAAAATTGTGCATAAAAGAAAAAAGTCCTTAGAAGGACTCACCCCACAATTAAATCCTGTTGGTAAAAACTATCTTCCCGAGAAAAATCCGGATTCACAAGTAAATCCATAGTAGCCATTGCCAAAGAAGTTTGACTGAGAATACGGCAGTGGTGTTAATGAGTTGTCTTTTACTATTGGAATATTGGAAACCTACATATTCCTGATTGACAGCTCTCTAACATGGTCAATACCATCTAGACCCATGCAGGTACAATGTATATAATTAATGTATGAATTATTGACACGGGTGTTTAAAATTGGCAGTTGCTTTATTAATGTCATTCAAATAAAAGTCTGGGCATTATCTTGTGTAATTTTGATTAAATAAAAACCTTTTAGCACATTTGAAAGTTAAAGTAATTTAATGTATAGTGTGGTACAGACAATTATATTTTTCCATGCAGCCGTAATCAGCTAATGTTTCATTGAAACAATAGAAAAGAATGTTTTAACCCAGGATTTTGTTCTGAACATGGATTGAAAGCCTTTGTACAAATTAAGCTTACAGTCTGCAAATATTTTAAAATGCATTAGTATTAAAAGTTTTAGATCAGCATGATCAGTCTTTCAATTTCCATTCATTTAAAACTTTAAATCTCTGCAGAGAAGGTCCTGGAACCTTTAAAATTGTCAAAATATTTTTAGAACAGTGATTTTAAGATTGGGTGATTTATGAAGGAAAACCTTTTTACACATTGTACATTGTATTAACAAAATAATATTTTTGAAATATCTAAGTCTCTAAGAGAGTTTTCAGATTATTACATGCACTTGACACTTATAATGCCATCTTCTTAACCAAAACTATTTTTATTTATAGCAACTTTTATAGAAGCTGAGATTGGATCATTGGAAGGTTGTAGACAGACAGACAGACTACAGACTATTAAAATGTGATTTTAAAAAAAGCTCACTTATTGTATGATTATCCTTCGAGGCACTACTCGCAAAATAAAATTCTTCACTTTTATGTATAAGCGTAAAAATTCTGAAACAAAATACATATGAGAAATCTGCAGTATACGTAGATGCATTTTTACAATGCATTTTATGAAATTCAATTAAGTATGTCAGACAATTAGGTCTGCCAAAATTAATGATTGTCTTAATTAAAGCCATAAGGATTTAAATTGTTGGAATAAAAAAAAAACTTGATCAAATTTCGGGGGTGCAATACATATTAAACATTTGATTAAATTTATTTAAATGACACTTAGGGGGTAATCTCAGATGGATAAAAATATTTGACATCTTCGATTTAATATGACAGATAAGGCATATTTCTGATTAAATTAAGTACCATCTACTCAATGGATACATTTGTGTGCAGCAAGTATTAAGGTATGAATCAATTAAGCTGAAGAGGAATTGTTCACATGCAGGGACTTAGAAGAAATTTAAATAATTGATGTGCTAAATGGATACAATCTGGACACATTTTGCTGTTGCTATATCAATTACCAATGAATTGTAGACTTTTTGTCTTTAGAAGTCATCATGGTTTCAGTTTCTTGACCATGTAGAGGTCAGAGTATGAAATCAGACATTCAGTTAGGACCCAGAAAGTGGATTACTGTACACGTTAAAGTCACAAATAAAACCAATTTGGAATTGGTTTACTAGCTCTGAAAGCTGGAATATATCAGCTGTATAAAAAAGAACTTGACCATTGTAGAATGAAATTTATTACGGAGAAAAAGGCTTGGTAATTACAATCAGAGGTGCCACAGGCATTTTTAGCAATTCTCGGTGTTGGTCATTTAAAAAGTTCTAAATCGGGAAGCATTATTTTGGTGTATGGTCGGGTTAATAGGCTGAGTTGTGTGATCATTGGATAAACTGTTTACACTTAGGTCAATCAAAAATCACTTCATTTTTTTCAGTTGCCAAGCACATAAATCTTTTGCCACCTAATATGACCTTTGAGTATATATGCAGTAAAGTGGGGAAAAACCTCACACAAAGGATAGGGCAAATATTTGGAGAGACATTAATCTTAAATGTTAGATATAGTAGCAACTGTTTCAAATAGGTGGGTGTCAGACATACAATAATGCTGGCTGTATTTTTTAAACCAATGCCCCCCCCCCCCCCCACCTTTCAATTATTTTTCTTTTCCCAAGCTCCATTCAATTATTTGTAACCCCCCCTCAAGAAGATAAAAGCTCAGCATCATGCAAGTGACAGAATGGGATTCAAAATTTGTGTTAAAACTTCTATAGCAAAAATTTTTAAGTGTTGTTTGTTGGAAGGAATTTTAAATTTTATTTTAAGGGGGTAGTAGTGGAATGATAAAGATATTTTTAAAAATCAATTACCTGAGGAATAACCTATTTAAAGTACATGTTTTAACAAATTGAGAATGCATATCCTAAAATCAATTTTTATTACTTAAATAGAGCATTTCCAAAAATATAAATTGCATTGTACTCAAACTTTTTTCTCTATTCATGAAGTGTTAAAGGGGTGATGAATTATTATATTTACATACAAAAGGATAAAAAAGATCGATCGTTAAAAAGCCATTTGCCTAGATTGAAGTTTTTTGTGGGACTGTTGTGTAAATTTAAAAAGGTAGAATTCTTTGACATCTTATTATAACCTTCTGAGCAGGGAATAGTTCTTTAATGATAATGCTCAGAATACAAATACAAATGAGGCATTATTGTAAACAAAGTTAAAAACAGAAAAAAAAGTGGGTCTTACCTTCCAGATTGCCTTATTCGTTCATATTCACCTGTAAATAAAAATTCAAATGAAAAGTTTTAGTTACGGTTGGACCAAAACTTGCTGATTTCAAATGAGTAAAAAATGAAGAAAAAGCACAAATTCCACACCTCTGTCGAAATCACTGAAACCGATATAAAACCCTTGACTGTGGGGTTCCGGGTCAAGACCCGACCGGACCGGAAACACATTACGCCACTGGGTCAGCATCCCCAGATCATGTATACACAAAACACTTCTACTTAATGCTTTACACTGCTGGTTTCTACCATAGAATCAGTGCAACACACTTGTATAGAAACGTCTTGGACCATAGCCATAGAGAAACAAAGGATTCTCTCAGTGGTTGTAAAGGGTGTTAGTCTGACGGGGTTGTGATAAGACAATGTGCTGAGTAGGGGCTGTGTGTTTTATAGACCGTGTCTGAGGAACTGTTTCATTAATATTTCAATATCTAGAAATAAACTTTAATTGTTAGTCACAGCAGAAACAGAGTGCAGGTAGTAATACAATGTAACACAATGGGTGTGATTAAAAACTTTTGAGTGAAATGACACAGCAAGTCATCTGTGTGGTTATGACACAGAAAATGCAGCTTAATGAATATTAGAAAATCAAAAGACGGGGGGGGGGGGGTTAACGGACTTTAATTATTTACTAGGATGATATATCCTGGTGAGAGAGAAAGGATATAGAGAAAAATCATTTTATTCTTTTCCAAAATCGTTTTTATTGTTCTTCGAAAGTGACACATTAATCTAGCTTTTTTATGAATCGCATTTTTGTTTACAAAAATGTTTCCCGTCTTTCGTTTTTAAGGTAGGGGGTGGGGGTGTTGAATTAAGCCTGGATTATGAGAATTGGCCAAACTTTCATAAGCCAGACAATCTACCAGACTTGTAATTTATTTGGCCCGGACACTACAATGCACACTTATAGAAGATACTGGTATGTTTTTAACGGAGTAGCATGAATTATAAATTAGTCATAAAATGTTTTGGCAGTTGATTATAGCCTCATCGGAAAGAGGGTGGGGTGGGATGTGTTTTTATTGTTGATTAAGCTTCATAAAGTCGTGTATCTATAAAAAAATAATAAGTCAAGGACCCAAATGTATAAAGTTTACAGATGTATAGATGTATAGAGAGCTGAAAGAGTATATAAAGATTACCAATCACGCAATATATCACAGAAAACATGCTATGTATACATGTAGAAGGCACAATACAGAGAAATCTCCGACACCATAATACAATGTAACACCGTCACAAACCTTCCTCTTCCTCGTCAAAGGTTAACTGGGTGTTACGATTATCTAAAATTACGTCAAAGAAAAACTTCAAAGTAAAATGAAAAAAAATTCTCGAATGGGACGTTAAGCAATATACAGTCAATCAATCAAAATACATGCATATTGAATGAGTTTAGTAATATATTGATCGAATATGGAATCATTTTCCTTTTCCCGTAATATATTGATCGAATATGGAATTGTTTGCCTTTTCCCGTATCCATCGTATACATTTGCATGTAGGAGTTTTAAGGAATTTTTAAATGATTGTGGATTCTGGGCAACGAAAATATAATGATACTCATGCACTAGTAATAGTATCGTAACAGTGGGATATAATCTTTGGCTAGTATACGATTTAGCAGGCTTTTGACATACGATAGGGGTGGAACGACGTTTGTAAATTGATCCCTGTCACAAATCTTGAAGACTTTCAGTGTTCAACACCTCTCCACAAATCTATTGTCAAAACTGTTGTTTCACCTCAGTGCAAGTATCAAATGTTTATACCATAATAAAATATTTTTGCCTCGGTAATTTTAAATGCAGGAAATCTGGTGTCAGTAGAAACTATTGTAAGCTTTCTAATATACAAAACCAACAAACGTCTGAAACCTTTGTTCAGCATTTGTTTTGTTTTATTCTTTTTTCCCCCAATTTTGACAATATATTATATTTTTTTATCACTCAAGAAACTTTGATGTTAAACCATATTTAACTGCAAGCACAAGTGCATTAAGGATTATAACGTTTGGCCGATTTGGGGGTCACAATACGATGTATAATACGAAGTATAATGTGTATGTGATATTATGCTTTTAAAGGATTATTGTATAGACTTATTAGAGGAAAGATTAAACGGTGCATTGCTTTGTTAAACTCGATTAAATGCCCATTTCAACCGTCTCATTTTTTTTATGTAAAACTAATTATTTTCAAGAATGCACGGTTACATTTATCGCTCATTTTATTTTTCCAATTAAAATAAAAATTAATTCATAAGAAAATAAGTCTTGGCAAGCAACGAAATCGTATTGATTTTATCAGATCAGCTCAATATAAATGTAAACATTATGTAATCTAGGTATTTAAAAAAGATGTATACAAAAAACAATGTTCATTTTTAAAGCATTTCAAAAAACTTTGTATACTGAAGATAATTATCATTTAAATCTAAATGAACATTTACCTTTAACGCCAACATCGGCTGCCATTATTTTACTTTTCCTTCTTTTCCTTTTACCAATTTAAAAAGTTTTTCTTCTCAGCACATGGTATATTAAAACTCCGTAAGGGAAAGTGAAACACTCTCCCATTTAAAGCGCGCGTAGCAACGACCTTTGACATAGCCACGTGACGTAACAATGTGTCTCTTAGTACAATATTAACGTGCAGCATAACTAAAGGGATTTACCTGCAAAATTTTTCTTTCGGTATACACAATATAAAGAAAAAATCGATATGAATGGAAAATATCATAAATGATTAAAAATTATTGTCAACGATTGGTAGGGTGTTCAGTTGATTCTTCCCACATAGCTTGTAGTCAATTTCAGCATTTAGTTATTCGACAATCGCCAAACGATAAAGTCCAGGAAATTATTTTTAAAACATTTGATTTTTTTTATTTTTCTCTTTACAAGATGTATATTTACCAAGTTTAATATTCAAATGAACTAATATTTGTCAGGGGCAAGTCACAATCATTTGAAGCACAGTATTTGCTGAATGCTATTGTGTTTCAAGATTCAAGAACGCGAGTAAATGATAGATTTTAAAATTGTTCACTTATCAACACAATGCTTATTTTAATACCAGATAAATAGGCAATGAGTTTTGCGCATTTTTATTGAAAAGAACTTAGAGATCGAGTTTTCATTAGACAGAAAACATGGTATAAATTTCACTGGGTATGTATACGGGACGAAAAAAAAAAGCCAATTGGTTGCAGAATTTGTTCAAGATTTTGCAGAATTTAGAAAGATCATATCTTATGTAATCAGTACTACATAGTTTTGTTTAAACAGAGATAAAACTTGAGCAGACGTCACAAGTAATGTACTGTATTAAGAAGATTATTGATCTGAGGTGATAAGCTAGATTAAAACAATACATCCATTATTCATCTGACAAATTTTGAAAAGACACAGCGATAGCAAATACACTGTAGTCTAAAGACTTGATATGGACGGTGCTAGTTATATGACTCGACAGGGAGAGAAATATAGGGTATATAAGACAGACAAGAACACAGCCCTAGAAATATATAAAATCACCCCAATACGAAAGCAAGCATATAATTGTGCGTTCGTTATCATTAAGGTGTTTATTCTGAACGCAGCAAAGGAAAGATGGTGGCCGAAGATGAAAGGGTAAAGGAAAGGGGGGGGGGTGCCGAAGAAACACTAAGTAATATGTATATATACATTAAATAAAAAATGTTGACACTTAGTGAGTCCGCCTTATTTGACATATCCGAATTTAAAAATTCTCATTTATTGAAAACACGAGCACCAAAAGGTAATCATAAAGAATTAATAATTTTATGAATGTATGTATTCATATCATCACAATGACATGTATAACGAAATGGGACTTTTCTTCAGGAAATCATAATGTACTTTTTACAGCGAAAGTATTTTCAAAGAAAATACATCCCCCTTTTCATACCAGGAGGCGCTTTCTTTAAAGAAAGATAACTCTCCCTATATTTATACTAGTACATGTTATAGAAAACACCGTATGGGCGTACACATTTTAATTTTTATTTTACAGGATGCAGTTCTTTCATCCATGCACATGTTGAAGAAATCACCTTAAACAGACTCGAACCAGGGGCATCGGAGAACAAGCATGACAACTGCACCACTGGATCAGAATTTTGTCTCTCTGAACCAAACTCGTTGCCCTCCATCACCAGTTGTGTAGTACAGTCAAGTGGAGAATCTGGTTCGATCCCCTCAACTCCGCCCTGTAAGCGACTTATCGAGATGCCAAAGATTCCTCGGAGAGTGACCCGGACATACCGCGCCAAGCGACGGAACGGGCATTACCTCACCCCCACGTTATGGGACACACCAGTCAAAAACCCTAACATAAACTCTGTATACTCCAGAAACGAAGGTATGCAAAAAATACCCCCAAGGAAGAAGCTTAGACTCTAAATATCTTTATTGTATGTATTTATTTGTATAAAAGTATATTTGCATAAAAACGGCGAATATTTTCATGTTTTTCCATTCACCATTTTCTTTGTTTCACCACAGAATTGCACAGTATACTCTTCGATTTTATGAAGTTTGTAGATTTGATTTATTAAAAATTAATATATAATATTTTACAATTAATGATTACAGTGCCCTTCCACAAAGTAAGAAGAAAGCTGCATTTTGGTAGAAAGCCCCCTACAGATAGGCATAACACTGAGGTAAATTTAGTAGTACATATGTATACATGTACATGAATGAATTTATTTTTTTTATATACAAATGTAGATAAACAGCTATTTAATATTTATCAAAAACCTTTTCACCATGTCTTTAGTAGAGCAAGAGATAAGGGGTCTGAATTCGAAGTTGAAGCATTAATTTTTTAGCTCACCTCAACGAAGTTGGGGGAGCTTATGTAATACCCTCGGCGTCGGCGTCCCGGGTTAAGGTTAAGTTTTTTGGAGCAGTTTTCTTTTTAAGTACTTCTATGTCCTATATTGATTAGACATGCATGGAAGATGGTTCTAGTGTGTTTCATTGTACCAGTCAAAGTTTCAGATGCTGCAATTTTAGCAAAGGAATGACTAGGTTAATGTTTTTGGAGCAGGTTAACATTTTTGGTGCAGTTTTTGGTGTAGGTTTCATTTCCAAGTAGCTATAAGCCCTATGTTAACCAAACTTGCATGGATGATACATCTAAGGATGCATACTACCGGGCTTGCTTCGGATGCTGAATCTGACCTACTTTTTCCGGTTGAGTGAACAGGTTAAAGTTTTTTGGTGCAGGTTTCATTTCCAAGTATCTGTAAGTCCTATGTTGACCAAACTTGCATGGATGATACATCTAAGGATGGATACAACCAGGCTTGCTTCGGATGCTGAATCTGACCTACATTTTCCGGTTGAGTGAACAGGTTAAAGTTTTTGGTGCAGGTTTCATTTCCAAGTATCTGTAAGTCCTATGTTGACCAAACTTGCATGGATGATACATCTAGGGCTGGATACTACCAGGCTTGCTTCGGATGCTGAATCTGACCTACATTTTCCGGTTGAGTGAACAGGTTAAAGTTTTTGGTGCAGGTTTCATTTCCAAGTAACTATAAGCCCTATGTTGACCAAACTTGCATGGATGATAAATCTAAGGATGGATACTATCGGGCTTGCTTCGGATGCTGAATCTGACCTACATTTTCCAGTTGAGTGAACAGGTTAAAGTGTTTGGAGCAGGTTTCATTTGCAAGTAACTTTAAGCCCTATGTTGACCAAACTTGCATGGATGATAAATCTAAGGATGCACACTACCGGGCTTCGGATGCTGAATCTGACCTACATTTTCCGGTTGAGTGAACAAGTAAAAGTTTTTGGTGCAGGTTTCATTTCCAAGTAACTATGAGTTCTTTAATGACCAATCTTGCATGGATGATACCTCTTAGGATGCATACTACCAGGCTTGCTTCGGATGCTGAATCTGACCTACATTTTGTGGATGAGTGAAAATGTTAGTTTTTGATGTATGTTTCATTTCCAATTAACTATGAGCCTTATAATGTGCAAACTTGCATGGACGATACATCTTAGGATGCACACTAATGGACTTGCTTCGGATGCTGAATTCGACATATATATTTTTCAGACAATAGACCAGGTTAAAGTTATGGTTGCAGGTCTATTACCAAAAAACTTTAAGGCTTTTATAACATTGTATAAACCAAACTTGCACAAATGTTGCATCAAGAGATGAAAACTCAAATTTGCTTTAGATGCTGAATTACATTTTCATGAAGAACTACTTTAAATTTTTTATGTTGGTCTACTTCAGTATCAGATCAAAATTGCTTAGATATTTTCATTTTTGGAATGTACATTTTTTGTTGGTTAATTGTGTGACTTTGCCTTATTTAAAGACAACATTCGTTGAGGTGAGCTCTGTAATCTCTGATTACCTATGTTTTTTTTTTGAATTCCTTACTTTGTGAGCACCCATTGAATAATGCATGATTTAAATTTACTAGTACTTTTTACTAGTTAAATATTTTAATAGTGATCAATTTTATTTTCTTTCTTTACAGTCTGACAAAGAACCCTCATCATCTGATATCAGTGACAAAAAGAAAGTCATGGAAACTGCAAAGGATGATGGGAACAGAGAAGTCACTATGGCAACGGAAGAAGATGAGCCCTTGGCTGTACCCCTTGTCAAAGGAAACAAGACAGCTAGAGAACTCAAACATTTAAGTGACCTCAGTGACCTGCTGCCCACCCGTCTTAGATCCTCCACCAAGTTTTGTAGTGAATCTCATATGCAAGATTTTACATTTCATGGCTTAAGGGCATAGGTACATAAGATCTATGTATGCCATGCAATTATCGAGTGCTTATGTTCTGCACTATGTTGGAAAACCTCAGCATTAGTTTTACTTTTCAACATCTTGCCATGTTATACTTTTTATAGTGTTCAGCAATGAGTGCTTCTATTGTCCAGATAGACAATTCTGACATTATGGTAGTCATTTTTATGATGGGAAAAATACTCAGAGTCGATGCAGAAATTGTAATGTTTGTTTTAATAGGATCATTTCCTTGTTTATTTTTCTTTTTAATTTTTTGTCAGATAGTTGTGTAAGTTGGTTTAAGATGGTCAGAGTCCCTAATATACATAATTATTTAATAAATAAGGTAAATAATAATCTTTTTGGTTTAAATGGACCATTTTATACTGAATTATTATATATTTTTTTTAGAAAAGACTGGATTTTGTACAGTATACATGTATATTCACATTTTTACCAATTCCTTTGTACATGTAAATTGCTAACAGATGTTTTATTGTAAGGTGCAGTTTTAATTTCTCCAATGTTTTACTATTTTTTCTTCAATATAATTATGTACATTTTGTACATACACATGTATATGGAAGAGAATTATTAATTTTTATGAAGAGAAAGAGTTGGTATTCTGAAGAGATTCTGCTTGCTCTTTTTTGGTTTTTAATATGAAGCGGATTGTTGTTTCATGTCTTTGTGTATATATATAAAATTAATCACTTGAACCTTGAAAAAAACAGTAAACATATTAAATTTCATTTTAAAGCTGTGTTATCCAAAAGACTGCAATAGTGTTTTTGGTTGATTTTTTTAATACAATATTGGTGGTGCTTGAGACATTTCAGAGTGCATTTTGTTTTAAATATGTGTTTAGAGTATATGTAATAATGATCACAAGTATGATACAAGAAAAAGCAATTTAGATTTTTCTTTTATCAAAAGAAAAAATTCAAAAGAATTTTTTTCTCCTTCATGTGCTTTTGTTGCTGCAGATTTTCATAGTGCATTTCATTTTGTTGTCCATTTGCTTGACCATGTATGATATGTATGTCAGGTCAGCATACAGTGTACATGTCAACAAAATTATCGTTTTTCTTTGAGAAACCAATTTAGTAGGTGATTTTTATGTGCAATTTGATGATCATTTGTTATGTTTCTTTTGAATAATAATGCCTGATTTTGTTGCATTATTTTTTTTTTTTATAAGTTTCTGATGTTGGTGACAAATTTTATAGAGGATGTACCGTATTGTTGACTCTTGTTTTTGTATAGTAGATGCATGCTTTATAGATGATACTATATTTCAGTTATTAAATAATTCAACAACAAAAAAAATCCTTACGTGATTGTTTATAAAGCAATATACAGGTTACTGAGGTTACTAAGTAGTAAAGTTATATAAAATAGATTTAGCCTTAAACTAAAATTCAAAAGCCATATTAAAATAGTGTAGAAAATTCATGTATATGTACATTTCCTGAGCTATATTTTGTACATGGTACAGATATTCAAACGCATATAAAGAACACATATTGTAATACTTGCACAATAAGTATGACTAATGAAATAACTATTGATTTGCTATTTAGACAGTTCTATAAATCACTTATTCTTTATTAAAGAAAGGTCATAGAAAAATCAACTGCTCAAATTCTTTCAAACAGTGAAATAAAATTTAATTTAGTGAAACATTACATGGATCTTTGAACAAAATGTGAATCTTAATTATTATTGAAAGATGAAAATTTCATTATATTTTGAATGTTAAGAAGGATCAGAGAACTTGTAAAATAACTCGGTATTTTCAATTAGAGTCTTAGCCAGAGACAGTGGAGGAATATCCACGATTCCTGCCAAAAGTTCAACCACACAATGCAGTATAGTGGGCACAGAACTGCCATCTTCACCAAACATGTTCTGTAAACTCTCTGGATGCAAATATCGTAATTGTTTTTGTGAGAAATTGATTTGAAAGTCTTTCATGTTGTGCCATGCCTTTCTCTTTATTTCACCAATGAAGGAGTGAGGTGCATTGCTCTGTAGAATTATTTTTTCCACCGGGATGACTTTATTCTTTATAAGGGAGGCTACTCTAGAATTATGTTTCAAATTAGCACCTGAAATAAAAAATAGAAATTAATTTCATTTTATAAGCAATATGATGCAGTGAAAATCAAAAATACAAAAACATTTTAAGAATATACATGTGTACTGTATACAAGGAATTTTTTTCCATTTCCTCCTTCTCACTGGTGGGCAAATACATGTATACATAAGATGGAATGAATTAAACAACAGCATTGTGACTGGTTGAATTTAAAATGGGGCAAAAAATGTGAAAGCATGAAAATAAGATGGGGCGAAAATAACTGTATACAGTATCTATATTGATTGTTAACTACCGTATTCCCTATATTAATGTCCTTACCTTCAATCATAATAAAACAACCAAAATCTTTGACTAGAGTGGAAATGTCCTCTTCAGTGAATATGCCATTTTCATTAAGAGAAACACAGTAGGAGTATATCATAAGCCGGTAATAATGAAGGGCATCTAGGAAGTCTTTATGGATGCTCTGTTTAGGACCTACATGAAAACGTATTGGTATCTTTTGGTTGTAACAGAATGGAATCTGCAAGTAGATAGAATTATTTGTTAAATAGTACATGTATTGGGCTAAAACAATGTTACAGTGAAAGGAGATAATCAAGAGAGTGTTATTTTAAAGTCACAGTAAGCCAATATGACAACTAATTCATATAACCTCTCACTTCTATTCCCAAAAGTTTATTATATAAACCAGCCAGGGAATATCTTTCTGAAAATGTAGTTTACTCTCTATAAGTATAATAAGCCATGGTTTGAAATAATTGTTTTGACATTGTCATGTATCTTTAGATAGAATACAATATATTGGCAAACTTGGGGGGATGCCACCCCCCCCCTTTTCAGTTTCTGCATCCATTTATTCAGAGGAATTTCATTTTATACGTGTAATACTGGTATGTTTGATGAAAATCTTAAAGTTCAGCATTAGAAAAGCAGGGCTTGTATTCATTATGCTGTTTGTATACTGCACTGAATTAAGATCTGCAACACTCACAATTTCTTTAAAGTCCTGCAGCTGTTTTTCTTGAGTAAGTTTGCTGGCACGATAACCCAGAGGAACATCTCCAACACAAGCAAAGGCTTTGTGACTCCGGATTTGTTTGACATACCTCAAACAAGACCTCACGTCTGAATTGTTTTTCTGAAGATCCAGATCAAAACCTGCAAAAGAGGAAACAAATCATAAACGTTTACATTATATATATTATGTTTTCACCAGAAAATAAGAATGTGAATCAAAATGATTGAAATCTCTCTTAATTCATAACTGAAATGAACTTAAAAATGAAATGTCCGTATTTGAACTCAAAGGTTATAAAAACTTTTAAAAAGTATAAAATCTTTTCTTTATATAGTTCAGAATGACAATGTCTATTTTTTCTCATTACCTACATCCACATAGATAAAATGTTTGTACTTGTTGTCTTTACAGAATGCCAGGGCAGCTTTAGACTCCTCCATGTCTACTGTGTCAGCCTTGACTACTAACCGCTGGATACCTAAAATTGATGAAGTTCACAATTTAATAGAAGAGAAAGATGAAAGTTTGATTAAAAGTTTAATAAATTTGATATAGTTCAGTAATCTGTGATAGGTTATCATTAAGCTCGTTGATTTCTTTTTGATGCTAATTGCTTTCTTCAGGCTGCATGGTGATGAACAAAGCATCTAGAACTCTTGGGATGCTTATCAAATAGTTTTTGTCAATAGGGTTTGATATTTTGTGTCAAAGGGATAAACTAGCGTGTGACAAGATAATTTAATCCAAAGGGCTATCAAATTCTAAGCATCCTTAATATATATTAAATGGGTGTTTGAGCATTGGGCATTAAAAATTTGTACATGCATGCTTGTATAAAGGATAGGTTTTTGACAATATGAATCAATGTCAAATTAGACTGAATTACCTTTTGATGCAAGATTATGGACAAAAGTTTTATGCTTTTTCTTGAAATCTTTGAAGTCAAAGAAAAAACATCCACAGTCAATAACACTGTAACCAAACTGTGTTTTGATTTCCTTCAGCAGAGGACATGATGTAACTTGGTCAGCCTTTCCATGGATTCTCCAGCTTTTGATGCTTTTAAATTGTAACAATTGTCTGCTATTGACTTTCTGGATTGTCAAGTTATCAGCTAATGAAGAGGCTGTCCTACAACAGTAATGGATATAAATAGTTTTAAATAAGATGTTGGTATAAAAAAAGAAGCTATAGACATTAAGATATACAATGTATTTATCTCAATCTTTGCCAAGTACTGTAAGTCCTTTTAATTCTATGGTGTTAAAATTTAACGAGTTATTAAAAGGTACTAATCTCAATTGATTTACCAAATTTCATGCTGCAAGAACTTAATTTTAATTTTTTATATGCATTTGAACATTTTTAAAAACCAATGATAGAATTCATGATGGGTGTAATTTCCCAGATAAGATAATTAAATAAAAATTCGCAAATATAGTGAAATTAAAACCATCATGATTATTTTTCCAATCTACAGAATATGTAGTAGCAAAGTATGGAGAGAAAAAGTTGTCACCCTGTCTTTTACTGCTTATGATGGTATAATGCACCCAACTTCACTAATTTTTTTCTGAATGCAAATACTTGTAATGTTTGTTCAGCAACCCAGCCAAGCCAAAAGTAAGTATAAAATGATGCCAAATTTGTTAAAGTTATTTCTGGCTATAACTGTGAAAATTGTTTTACAAGAAAATAAAGTGAAAATTTTAAATAATTACTTGCACATTTTAGGAATTCCACTGGCAATAAGATGCTCTCTTGGTATAGCCACCAGTGCTTTACCAGTATTCCCAGTTGTTGGCTGTTTTACATCAACTGGAATGGCTATCTGTAGAAATTCCTTTCCATCAAATTCATTCTTTTTAGTTAGCATCCGAAAAACAGTTTGTGGTGAAACTGTTGGTTTTAAGTTTTCTGCATGATCAAAAGCAAAGAATTATAAATCCACTTTTATACCATATTAAAAACCCATTTTTTTCAGAAACTTTTGTGAAATTATGCCAGGCTGCAAACATTTTATGTTGGTGATTCTTGTGTGCATCTTCAACATGTTCAATATATAAAATTAACAAGTTAAACAAATGTTTACAAAAGTTCCTTTACATATATTACATAATCTAACAATATTTGTGAAAAGAAGGTACACATGGCCAAAAATTGGACAAATATAAATTATTTTAAGAATGTACAACATCATGTACATGTATTTATATTTTTTAATCAAGATCTATTTATAACTTACCCATGAGGAAAAGAGCAGGACTTGACACAGTCACTTGATGAACAGGAGTCAAATATTGACAAACATCCCTTACTTCTGAATTAAAAATCGAGTACACATTGGAAATCTTGGGGTAGATCCAAGAGACAAAGCTTTGTATTCTTCTCATAACAGGCCTCAATAGGCCTACCAGGAAAAAGAGGCCAAAAATAGCCGATAAGATATAATATACTCCCATTACTGCCGCTTTTATACCAGGAATATCCAAGAACATTAATGTAAGCAGAATAACGAAAAATGTCAGAGTACAGATTGCTGCTTTATAACTGTTATTATGCATGTTCACTCTCCTACTGTAACTGTAAGCGTCCGTGACAACGCGCTGTTCTTGAAAAGAACAAATTTAAGAATTCAATAACAAATACAATAAATGGCTTCCAGAAGAACAGGGTATCGCACTGCACTAATACCACTCACATGATTCTAGTGTGTTTATCCTGTATTTATTTTTACTTTTCACTCAGATATTCTTGCTGTTACTTGCGCAATATTTACTTCAGGAAATGAGTTACGCAACCTAAAAGTAAGACTTGTCTGAAAGAAATCATTTTATCCGGGTTGCGCTAACACATTCAGGACGTGGACAGTATGGTGTATACTTTGTTTTATGTCTAACTTGGTAAATACAAATGTTTTAGAAAATAACTTCCTAAATATTCCCCTTTAATCGACCTTCTACTGCTAGAAAAGGACAACCTATAATAGCTATACATAATACAATCATGTACAAACATGAAGTACTTCAAGTAATTATTTTAAGGAATTCAGTTTTTGTCAGTAAAAGAAAAAATATATATATAATTGCATGTGATTTTGATAGAGCACTATAACAGATCGTGGAATCTCAAATATTTTTGTGACATTGTCGAAGTTCAATGCCAAAATATGTACAACATTAACAACTCTTTGTTAATGAAAAGAAAACAGTACCTTTTTCTGCACATACAAGCTATATCTATTTATAAATGTACAGCTTATTTATAAAATCATCTCAAACCTGAGGCAAAAGAATTTTATACGATCCTCTTCCATTCTGAAAAAATAGCTTTACCGTACCGTAGCTTGAGACGATGACAGACTACACTGTATCATTCCAATAACAGCGTACATCTGTAAGTACATGTTAGATACAGGGGTCTTCGCCTTTTATGCAATTTATCCCACGATTTCAACTATTGTTGATGCCCTGTCATACTCTACCGAATAGACAGTGATTACTTAGACATACACAAGGTACCTTACCTACTGATAATTTTTTAAGATATTCTTAATTTAAGATTATAGTGCCATTAGATGTTCATATACAAAAAAGCAGCAGGGGTTTTGAAAAGATATCAAATTTTGAAAAAAATTATATTATTCAAAGAAAAATGTACAAAAATTACAAAACATAAATTCCAGATATTTTTTCATTAAAAAAAACTGTTTTAGAAGAGATGTACAAATCCATATATAGACATTAAAAATATTGCACACAGGTCCTTCGTTTAGTGGAACATTCAACTCCAGAGAAGAACCCTATAAAGTGCAAACTACGTTGCGTATGACCTTAAGTTAACCTCTAAGGTGAAGGTCAAAATTATTAGTATCTTTTCACAAGAAATACAATCGTGAAATATGAAAGCCCTGGTGATTACTGTTCAAAAGTTACGAGGGGTGATCAAAAAGTTCGCAAACTAATTGAATAACTTCCATGCAAGAAACAATATTTCGTTTTAATGTTGATTATATTTTAAATTAATCCTCCCCGATTTTAATGCACATCAACCACCGTTCTGCGCATGCGCGAATCACGTGATATTGGTGGTCACGTGACCCCCTCCGTAGCGTTCTGTCACAAAAGTTAAAAGATTTTTCCGAGTTTTATATTTCTTTCCATGTGAGTTAATTTTTATGACAAGAACAGTTAATTTGTCAGAAATGGTCATATCTCGGCAACAGAATGGGTGGATAATAACATCCTTTCCAAAAATAAGCATGGCGACCATTAAAACACAAATCTTCTGTCTCAGGAGAGACCTTTATTCAAGGTGGATAGAAAATGGGTGCATCCTTTTTATCATATCTAATATGTTTAAAATCTAAAGTAAACGATATCTTAGGTATTTAATACTTATATCATTGTTCAAATATTCAACTATTTTTCAAAGTGCTAATTGGATGGGAGGTCTTTGATAGCAAATTGCTTAATTAAAAATACATATCTTTTCAAACTTGCTTTCACTGGGCAAGATGACAAGTATCATTTTTAACCATCAGCCTTCTTTCACTAAAACGATTAATCCAATCATTAATTGAATTTATAGGAACTCATTTATCTCAATAAACTGTGTACAAATTATTATATGATACTGTAGAGGGATTTCTAAGATATTACAATAAATTGTACAGTCGTTTGTTGAACGAGTTCGACTGAGACAACCATTTTTCGTCACAAGTGACCTAAATAGTGACGTCATTTTCACATTGTGACGTCACAAACAAGGAGAGAAACTTTATTCAGCATATGCTGTTTATAGACCTTGTGTATGGCTATGTGTGTACCGAATTTCATTCTAATCTGAATTGTGATTTTGTAGATATAGAGATAGTTTGCGAACTTTTTGATCACCCCTCGTATGTTCAAGGTTAAAGTTTTTAAAAAGTGGGTCAAATTCTTAGGTCAAAATTGAAAGGTCAGAATTGTGGTACTGCTTTTGTCATAAGAAATACACATGTGAAACATGAAATATTTAAGCCTTTTGAAGAGGCAGCAGAATGCAACTGATTTTATTTTAAACATTAAATTAAATTAAGTGATGATTATTACCGGTATACAATAAATCATATAAAAGACAAGAAATCAAAGAAGAAAAAAATGAAAATCATACAACATTTATTTTAAAATGAAATAAAGATAACAGTTATAGTATTGTTATACCTTTAAAAATTTGTTCCTATACATATCTATACGACAAAAAGCTTAGCATTTCTAATGTTTTACCCAGCGGTCATTAAAAAATCGATGTTTGACTGCTGAGTGAGATGATGGACCTGTCGATGAGATGTTTGATCGCTAACGTCACACAAGTACAATAGGCGGGATCAGCTAACTCCGATTTGCATTCGTTGATGTTTGACAGTGAAAGAATTAATTAACCGACTTAAATCACAGGTGACATCACGGAAGATAATTGCAATACAAGATTAATGCATACCAAAAACAATAAATAAAATATAAGGTACATGTACAACAAAACATTTATTGACTTTGTTCTCAGGCAAGATGAGTTTTGTCGACCCTCGAACCAAACTGTTTGGTTCTTGAGTCCGACATAACACACGTTTTGAATCCACTCAATAAATGTAATGCTATATCATAAATTAAAATCATTTTGTTTTCCAAACCACATCAAACGGATGTTGAATACTGGTATAATAATTATGTTAACTTGTTCGCGCAATAAACGGTTCAATGTTTATTTTTCAATACTTTTGGACAAATTTTTTTTCTGTTTAGGTTTATATTGTCAGAATCCTGTCTCTGAAATAACTGATGACTCTGGCATTTAAATTATTGTCATTATAACATCCATAAAGCACATTTTGCATTTCTGGAAAACAGTATTTTGCCGCCTCAACAAGTCTTGGGTTTTCCTTTTCAAATAAATTATATTTGACGTGAATTTTTGTGAAGTGTGAATCCGGAAAAATTTTACCAAGATTTTCATTTCCGAGGAAAAAATCTGGTAAACACTTCTTTTCTAATGATAAGTATACAAATGTCATAAAGTATCCCAATGCCTCACGGACACCTGCAATATGGAAGCCAGAAGGCACGATGACGGTAGGAATTGTCAGCAGAAGGACGCAGTACATGGCGATAGTTTTTAAATGATATGACGTCAGCAGAATGGCGGCTTGATTCGATTGCTCCTTTAGCCTTTTTACCAAGGCTTTCATTATGCGACACGACGTCATGATATAACGCCGCTCTCTGTTCATAAAACAGATATCAAACATGAATTTTTCATAGGCAGAAGAGCAATTTCGCCATCTTAATTCTTTGTCTTTTTCACAAATATCGGCGTTCTCTTTATTTATCCATTTCATGAGTCCGAATCTCGGAAAGTTAATTGCTATGTCACAGGGGGATGAAATAATTGCCCCAGGAATTAAAATCATTTCACTGCCCAACATAAGTGCTGGAACAAAATCGACATAAACAGTACTAGGATCTTGAAAGTCAACATTGACTGTCAAATCCATTGTAGGAGGTCTGGATCCTCTTTTAACATGATAAACATGTACTTCGGATGGTCGTCCGGTTTCCGGTGTCCCTTCTAAACGTTTTGCAGTTGCAAGAAATAATTCATATAATGTTTTATCCATTAGAGATTTAAACACTTGCTCTTGAAGTGCCTTAGTGTTGAGGAAACATGCGCCATTAACCACTTCAAAAACTCCTTCCCTCTGCAGTCGTGGGAGCATACCGATTTGTTCATCATTCATGACCCGGAGACGTATTTGTCCTGGTAGATATTGACCAGCCGTGTCCCACAAATGAACTTCCTGTAGACGAAGCCCTTCAATTTTAAAAGGAACGATGGCATCAAACTCGTCAGGAGATTCGATTTTCAATCCCTGCCTTGCACTTCCCTGTCGTATAAAATTTCGATCTATTGTCAAGCCTTCGAAATACTTTTCGGCCTGTTTTTGAAGTTCTGTGAGAATGATTCCTAGAACATCATCTGCGACGAAGCAAGCATTTTCCCAAGCATACTGAGTGAAGTCTATTGGAATGGAAATCTTCCCCAGAACTTGAGATTTCAAATAAACTTCATAGTCAGGAAATAAATCGTCTGGATAGCGCCATGTATTCGGGAACAGTCCTTCTGACGCCATGATCGTATAGAAAATTATCCCATAAAGTAGCTGTACCTAGAAAAAAAATATGAAAGTAAAATTTTACGAACAATACATTTTCAGAAAACTTAAACGTACATTACATAAAACCGATTGATAATATTCAAAGTAAATATCAATACGTCATGTGCACAGGGATCCAAATACTTATATACATGTATATCAAGGTTAAATTTTATCAAGGCTATGATTGTAAATACACCTATAGTAAAGTAGACTGCATGCATTTTAAAAAAAAAAAGATCACAAAGCAGAGGGCCAATTAGCAAGATATATTTTTATGTCTATTTTTCGATGTCCAAAGATTATGTAGTGTCCTTTATTATTTTTGTCTTAGTCATACACATGTATATATACAGTATGCATAAAAATTCTTCTTGCTAACTTTACGTTAGATTATAGTATCGCAATGATATTTTTGTAATGTTTATACATATCGTCTTACATCATGTACATAATACATTTCATTTTCTTCAAAAATCATTCTTATAGCTC